ATGCCTCCACCTGGGCAGAAGTAACCGCCGCAGCGCGTGCTTCCGAAGCCGGGTGAGAGGCACCGGATCCCGCCGGAGAAAGCTGAGATAGGGCGGGGCCCGTCTCAACATCGCCGGTGAGATCCATCTGCGAACCCCAAGTCAAGCGCCGCCGCTCTGCCTCAACAGAAGCGGGACCCGAGCCTTGGGGAGCTCGCAGCAAACCACTCTCCTCAAAGAGCGATCGCCGCGAGCGCAGAGTTCTAAGAGGAAAGCGTTCGCAATGCTGACAGTCGACTCCCTCGAGAGCCGACTGGGCATGCTGAACACCTAAACAAGCCACACATAACTCGTGAGAATCCCCACCCGTGATGTATCGAGTACAGGGGGGAACACACTTTCTATACTGCTCGCTCATATTGGTTTTTTTATATATATATATATATATAGTGATAAACTCCTGACAGAACAGACAAACACAATCGACAGATTCAGACACACGCACAGAGCTGCTGAAGTGACAAAAGCTGGCGTGTTGTGTGCTCAGGGGATATTTATAGCTTCCTGGTCTATGACGTCACTCGCCGTACGCTCTTTCTCTCCATTGACTGATTTCATTCATGCTTCAGACGCGTCACGCTGGGGGCGTTCCCACTGCGATTACACGCAGCGGTAGTCCCTGAAGGGGAACTGACAGCACTCTCTTTTCATACAGATTACATAAACTGAGAATATTTGTTTTTTATATAAATTACATCATTGAAAAGAAGAGAATTCAAGCTTCATAAAGAAAAATCTCTCGTGCCTGTATGACAAGTATTTGCAGAGTTAGAGTTAATTTTTCGGACGTGTTTCAGAATGGACTGCACTGACAGAGAGAAGGCAAAACTCGCATCATGTTTATTTTTCTTTATTTGACAAAAAGCACAAAACTTTGTTTTTATTGTGAGTATACAGAAAAATAATAGACAATTAACAGGATCGATTGATGTATAACACTTATATGTACGATCAAAATCAACAGAGTATTTTAAGTCTATTTTTCTGCTATGTGAAAAAAAAACGGCAAAACGCGCGGGCGCGTTTCTGGTCCCCAGAGGGTTAATGCAATTATCTAATCAACCAATCACATGGCAGTTGCTTCAATGCATTTAGGGGTGTGGTCCTGGTCAAGACAATCTCCTGAACTCCAAACTGAATGTCAGAATGGGAAAGAAAGGTGATTTAAGCAATTTTGAGCGTGGCATGGTTGTTGGTTCTAGACGGGCCGGTCTGAGTATTTCACAATCTGCTCAGTTACTGGGATTTTCACGCACAACCATTTCTAGGGTTTACAAAGAATGGTGTGAAAAGGGAAAGACATCCAGTATGCGGCAGTCCTGTGGGAGAAAATGCCTTGTTGATGCTAGAGGTCAGAGGAGAATGGGACGACTGATTCAAGCTGATAGAAGAGCAATTTTGACTGAAATAACCACTCGTTACAACCGAGGTATGCAGCAAAGCATTTGTGAAGCCACAACACGCACAACCTTGAGGCGGATGGGCTACAACAGCAGAAGACCCCACCGGGTACCACTCATCTCCACTACAAATACAAATAGGAATAAACAGAGCAATTCCAAGAGGGTCCTCTCACCATTGGTGCTCGGGCCCTAAAAAGAGGCTACAATTTGCAAGAGCTCACCAAAATTGGACAGTTGAAGACTGGAAAAATGTTGCCTGGTCTGATGAGTCTCGATTACTGTTGAGACATTCAGATGGTAGAGTCAGAATTTGGCGTAAACAGAATGACAACATGGATCCATCATGCCTTGTTACCACTGTGCAGGCTGGTGGTGGTGGTGTAGTGGTGTGGGGGATGTTTTCTTAGCACACTTTAGGCCCCTTAGTGCCAATTGGGCATCGTTTTAATGCCACTCTACCTGAGCATTGTTTCTGACCATGTCCATCACTTTATGACCACCATGTACCCATCCTCTGATGGCTACTTCCAGCAGGATAATGCACCATGTCACAAAGCTCGAATCATTTCAAATTGGTTTCTTGAACATGACAATGAGTTCACTGTACTAAAATGGCCCCCACAGTCACCAGATCTCAACCCAATAGAGCATCTTTGGGATGTGGTGGAACGGGAGCTTCGTGCCCTGGATGTGCATCCCACAAATCTCCATCCGCAAGATGCTATCCTATCAATATGGGCCAACATTTCTAAAGAATGCTTTCAGCACCTTGTTGAATCAATGCCACGTAGAATTAAGGCAGTTCTGAAGGCGAAAGGGGGTCAAACACAGTATTAGTATGGTGTTCCTAATAATCCTTTAGGTGAGTGTATATATACGTATATATATATATATATATATATATATATATATATATATATATATATATATATATAATAGTGCTGTCGAATCGATTAATTGATCACATTAATCGCATCTAACATAAAAGTTTGTTTATATAATATTTACATAACATACAGTCTTTGTGTGTATATACATATACATATATATATATCACAAATCTGTCTAAATCTGTGTTAGTGAGCACTCTCCTTTGCCGAGATAATCCATCCACCTCACAGGTGTGGCATATCAAGATGCTGATTAGACAGCATGATTATTGCACAGGTGTGCCTTAGGCTGGCCACAATAAAAGGCCACTCTAAAATGTGCAGTTTTATCACACAGCACAATGCCACAGATGTCGCAAGTTTTGAGGGAGCGTGCAATTGGCATGCTGACTGCAGGAATGTCCACCAGAGCTGTTGACAGATTTGTGAACAATATTTGAGAGAAATAGGCTTTTTGTGTACATAGAAAAAGTCTTAGATCTTTGAGTTCAGCTCATGAGAAATGGGCCAAAAACAAAAGTTTTGCATTTATAATTTTGTTTAGTGTATATATACATACACACACACACACACACATACATATATATATATTTACACATATTATATAAACACAAACTTTTATGTTAGTTGCGATTATGATTAATCGATTTAACCACACTAATATATATATTTATATATGACAAAAAGTCGCAATCACGAGAAAAAAGTTGTAACTGTTAGATATGAAATCGCAAACTAAGCTTTTATTTTTCATACTTGCTTCCATAGAGTTTTGCTTTCAACAAGGATAAATTATGTAGAACAAAATCATGATGATGGAAAAACCAAGAAAAAAAAAATTCTGTGTACACTATAAAAAAAGCCTCTTCCTAATAAGAGTGTCCCTCTCATCTAAAACACATGACGCTGTGGTCGTCATCCAGTGTTGTACGTCACTATCCATATTTCCTGTCTTCATTAACATCTCATGACTGTGACGTCTCAACAATGCGCCTCAGGTCAACCAATTCTGACACAGCCTCTCATTGTTCGAAGTGTTAAAAGTCAAAATGTGTCTGTTGGGCGATGAATCTTTGTGCCGCTTTATTGTTTCCTGTGAGAAGTCTAAAGAGACTCTCTGCTCTGCTGCCCTGCAGCAAGTTAATGGCAGACTGGCTCTATGAGGGAGGACTTTTAATTCGGCTCCTGTCTCGCACCAACAACTTGTTTGGAGTTTGCTGCTTCTGCGCGCATGGCGGATTAAGCCCCATTGCCTTTTCTTGTTTTGAACTAATGCATTCTTGATCACCGTTTAATGAAACTATATACCACATGGCGATTTCACATTAGATAAGCCATGTGAGACTTTCATCAGACGCCGGGCTCTGACTGAGGCCATAATCCCGAAACTCAACTCCCCCAATAAATAGCTTTTTTCCTCCGAAAATGAAGTGATAATACGTGGGTTTCATGCAAAACATAACATATTATCTCTGACACAAAATTATAAGAGCTTTCATCAAATTAGTAGAGGGAATGTTAGTAGAGGTGTGATATTGAGTGTCGGATATTCCAGAGCAAAGGTGCATTATGATAGTTACACACACACACACACACACACACTAAACAAATCGCCCTACATCAGATTAAAGACACTGAGATGGCCCTTTAAATTGTGATTATCACAGAAACAGACAATATCAACGTATTGACAGTATTTTAAAACATAAACCCTTTTTTATGTACAACTTCAAGGATGTAAAAATCTTTATGAATCCTCTGAAACTGCAGAAAGCTTTGTGAGGGTTGGTCACATGTGATCAAGTTCAACACTTAGACACAATCCCATAGGGGTACATTTGGTCCAAGAAAGGCATTTTAATTGGAAAATGTATTTATAAATGAAATCCAGTTGGGACTAGAGAAAGTAAATTAATTTGTACTCTTTTTATGGACAAATTTAATTATATTTAAAGCTAAAATAGCATAACACCATCAATGTTACTGTGTAACATTTACATTAAGACCAGTCTTATCTCACAAAACAGAATGAAACCCTTATAATGTCAAAATAAATGTAATGGTGTAACATAAATATTAAAATCTTATTTATTAAACATTTTTTAAATAAAATCAACCTATGATGAATAGCATGAATTGAATAGTCTCTAAACCTCAAAGGTTTTGTAAACATGTGTACGTCTCTAAAGTTGTTCATACATAAAACAGTTAGCATTTTTTAAGCTATTAATACACTAATATTGTAATTTTTTTCTAAACTAATGCAAATGTTTGTGTACCAGCTAACAGTAGATAATAATGGACAAAAGGGTTTTCTGTTAAATATGTTTTGTTCTCAATGTCTGCATTAATATTTGGAATTTATCATTTGGCATCACGGGGTATTCCATAAAAATTTACACAGTGCATCTTCATACAAAGGAAATTTAAATATTTATAAAGGTAATTTCGGCTTGAATGGTGATTGCAGCACATCAAATCCCCTAACCAATCAAATGCACTCATGCTCATTCAGCTTCAGCTGATCTGTTGTCTGATATGTAAAGAAAACATTTGTTAACCTGGATTATAGCAAGTATTTAAATAGAAAAGCTGATCTAGACCTTATAGGAAGCCCTGACAAAATAATCTTGACATAAATGTAAATATGACAGAAAGGGTTCTTAACCTCTGTGTCCTTCATGACAGCCTGGCGTTGAGTGAACAGCGCTGAATGAATCTGTGCGTGTTGAGACTTCCTCTGTTCACAGGACGCTGTATCCCTTTTCACGTTACCCATCACTACTGTGGCTGTCCCATGTTTGAATGCCAAAGTGTTTGACAAACACCTGAAACAAACAACAATATATAGAAATTTGTGTACACACACACACACACACACACACACACACACACAACAATATATCTGTATTTCTTACTGTAGCTCCTCTATAACGTCTGGCATAGTGCTGATGGTTTGCTCCATCATGTCTAATTCTTCATTTAACTCCTTAGACTTCAGGTCGAGCTCCTTGATCCGATTTGAAATCTCCTCGTACCTCAATAAGACCACACTAAGTTTTTCCTAACAGCAAATAAATAAACATACCATCATTGAATGAATAAATATGGAATTAAATAAGTTTTTAAGAAAGCCTGTTAAGTACAAATCTGCAATATCGTTGGATATGTAACATATTTATCACATAAATATCTCATATTGTTATATAAATCAAGTATAATTTTATTTACACCTTCACAGAATCCAAACATTCCTGCTGGTGTTTCTTTTTTTCTTCAAAATCATCAGAGAGGCTTCTGTGTGCAGTTTGTAGGTCATTGAGTTTTGCTTTTAACTTTTCAATTGTCTGAGAAAATAATAAAAGAATTAATATAAAAAGAGAAAAAACATCCTTATGCAACTGGAAACTTTGTTCAATTACTTCACTGGATCTTTAAGTCAACATGAATCAAACTTTCTCAGTAAATTTCCACTTACTTTGCAATTGGGCAAAATGTGAAATTTAAACTTGAAATAAGCCAATACAGTGACATTTATTCTATGCCGATCAGATTTACCTCAGATTTCTCTATATATGTCTGTCTCAGTTGCTCCACCTCTGTCTCTAGCTGAGAGTTTGTAGATAAAGCACCTTCATACTTTTTCTGCAGTTCCTCTTTCACCCTCTCACAGTCTGTTTGTTCACGATTATATTCAGCTGCCTCTGTGTCCATATTTCGCTGAACGTAAAACATGTCATCAATTACAATATATCTATACCAAACATTAACAGATACATAAACAGTACACACAAACTAGTGCAATCCTGATATTGCTTCATGAATAATTCATTTATTTAATAATCAAAAGATGTATGAATGTATTAATTAGGCAAGGCAGGTTTTACCTGGAGAATATCTATTGTGGTCATTTCAGTCATTACCAGGGTCTTCATTTTGTCTACCTGTTTCTGCCCAACAAAAATAAAAACATCAAACATCAGCTAATTTTAAAGCAAAAAACAAGACAAAAACAAAATCCAAAGACAGCTCAAAAGTGACAACATACTATACTATAATTCTCTATAAACACAAAAGGATAAAAGCTACAGCCGACTTTCAGTGAATAATAATTTATATTTAGGTCTGTTGCTCAATATAGAGCATGTAAAAGTACTTTTATGGTGTTTTTATCTTTTTTGAAGCTTGACAAATGCAAAATTTGCACCGCAGAGGTGGCACAAAAGCACTTCTGAAGTGTCATTTACTGTAGGTGACTTTACTGCTGCTTAGAGGTGGCATAAATGCATTTACACAGAAATTACTGAGCAAATATTGTACTTTGATACTAGGGGCTGAAATGGGTCAGAGCAGGCATAATTTAGTCTGGCTTTTATGCCGCATTACAGCTTTACACAGAATTTTGAGGAGGCTCAGAGAAGCCTTAACTCGGCTGTGTAAAGATGCCTAAAAAGGCATCTACTTTTTCAATGGGAAAAAATAACAGCATGCAGGTGTGGAAGGTTTACAGAATTTGTATTTTTGGATCCGGACTCTTTCTAAGAACGTTGTTTGCTCATGAACTCATCTTTAGATCTGCATGCTGCATGTGTCCTCTTACCCTGTTCCTCAACTCCTCCAGAAATGTTTGGCGCTCCAGCTGGTCCAGCTTGGCTTTGGTGTCTGAATGTTCGGCGGACACACTGTCAAGTTCGTCTTTGAGTGGTTTCCACTGCTTCTCACTCACACTGATCTTAAGCAGGATGAGCTCGTGATCCATCAGTAACTGTTTCACTGCCTGTTTGCTGGAACAAAAAACATAGTCTGTCCCTTGAGATCCACACCACGATGTACTGTACAGCCTGCTCACAAAAAAATGCTTGCACAGCATTCAGCTAATTTCACAACTAGAAATGAAACAGCCATGAATATACATCCAACTTATTAAACAAGATGTGCCAAATCATGGATTAATTACTGGAATAGTTACAATATGACACAATGATTAAACAAAATCTATAATGCATAATGCAACTACAGCATTCAAATTAGACAAGAATCAAGCTTTCATTTTGTTAGAAAGCTTCTAAAGATCTAATATTTACTATCACTTATATTAAAACTTAATATTAAGAAAATGCAACTCTGAACAACTTTACAACAGCTGAAAATTTTGCTAAATATAAATTAGAATATATATATACACACACACATACTGTGTATTGCATATAATTGGGCCTATACAGCTCATGGTAATATCCATACATTTCAATGTTTGATTAAACTTATATTTAACGTAAAAGAGCAGGTGCGGTCATTTGGAACTTGAATATGCAAGGCTTCCGGGTGTCATCCATTTTTTAGTCTGCTATGCAACTTGATATTGCAAACTAGCATTTGGTATTTGTAATCAAAAACACACTGGTTTGTAGCGCAAAATCTTCCTAGTTATTTACTTATAGCGGCTAATGAATTCTTGCACATTCACAGAAATGTAACTTACTTCCGTATTGCAATATAAGGTGGATAAGGTATCTTTTGAACGCTTAATAAATTTTGGTACTGCGTTGGGTTGGGCCTTGATGTCCAATGTAAAATGACGCAAAACCAGTTGAGAATCATTGTGTTAGTTCATCTGGTTGTGCTGCTTCACAGCATTTTAATTTTAGAAGCAATGCCACACACACCTACACATTTTTAATGAAGTGGAATTAGAGTTGTTGCATGATTTCTTGACATGATCTGCGGAACACAGATTCTGTGTTGATAATTAAAGAATCCAACACTCACACAACAGACCAATGAACCACAAGACATTTCCAGCACATTTCTCATAGTGTTGTCATTTGAGTCTCCATCTCCAACATGGAATGTAATGTTGATCCATAAGTTCAAGTTGGGAAGAATTACTATCCAGATATCATAGTTTCTCATGATGTGTTAGAGTTTCAACTAAACGGCAACACATGAGCAAAACTGTTGGCTTGTGTGTGCAAACATATGGTCTTCATAGATCTCATGGAGGCAACGTCATTTGTCGTTGCCGTACCATGGACAATTTAGGGGAAGTAACAACAACAGATTGTTTTTTCATTTGGATCGATTTCAGTTATTGCAGTTCAATGAAAAATCTTGTTGTTGGCCAATAAAATTTGGTTATTGTGCTTGACCTTTCTGTGTAGACTTTATATTGAGTATAATACTGTTTATTGCAGTTTACTAGCTTTTTATAATTCTACATACCTGTGCTATAAAATAGCAATTTTACAATAACATATTGTATTCGGAATTTTACTATGAAATAAATGCAGCTTGGTCATAACACAACAAATTACTGCAAAACACTGCAGACACAGCTAATTATTAGTGACAATTACTTGTGTCCAAGAATATCATTTTAATTCAAAATAAAACGTTATCTGAAGTTTATGGGACAAACCTTTGGCAGGTCTTTCTCTTGTAGTCTTCCATTTCCAAGGTTTGCTCTTTGTTTTTGTCTCGAAGGGTTGATAAGTCATGTTGCTTTTGGCTTGAGATTGCATTCAATTCAGACACCTTTTCATCACCTTCAAGTTTCTGATAAACACAGTAATGCTCATTTTTTTGTAGTAGCTATATATGCTATTGTAAAGTCTTTGTTTAAAGCCAACCACATAGAAGATCATAGATCACATATCATATATAACTGCTTTCTAGCGCACGCGCGCACACACAAACACACACACACCGACTGCTAGAAAGGGCCACTGATTCTTCTAGCACATAAGCATAAACTTATTTTCAATTCATTTAATATTTCAAAACTATAACAGTCATGTGTCAAACATACATGAAAAAAAAAAAAAAATCACATAGCACCACCTATGGTCAAACTAAGTTTCCTGGAAAGTTTTCTAAACTTTTCAAACTCAGTTTTGGCAGAACACCATCAAAAATGCAGGAAATACAAATTAAAAAGGAATGAGCAAACTGCGAAAGAAACAACTGAGCGCTCTGCGGCTCATTCACTCAAGCGTAGTGTAATTGTGAAATCAGGGCTTAGACAAAATGGAGGCTCTAAGAGAACAAACACGGCAGATCGGTGCAAGGAATCGTGGGCCTTTCCTGCCCTCCAGAGGACGTGAGGGTTGACATCTCCAACACGACATATCATTTCACCTCTGATTTATATCATCTAAAATAACAAGCTGTGTCTCGAACAGGCTGTTATACTTACGGATGTTTGTATTTGGTTTTGAAGCTGCATTACTTCCTTATTCTTTATCATCAATATCTCTTCTTTTTCATCGATTTCTGCTTTTAATGTTCTGACCTGAAAAAAAAGGGTAAGTGTGAAATATATAAATTTAATATGTGGAATCCAAAATGAACAAAAGCTCTTTCAGTGAACTCATTTTAAATAAAGCATAAAAAAATATTGCAGTCAACATGAGCTTATGATTGTTACATAGAATATTCTGAAAAATTCACAATGTCTTCATAATATTTTAATTCAAATATCCTGTGAGCAAAGGTGTCAGGTGAACGTATTGTAAATGAATACTGACTTCATCATTTACGCCTGTTTCCTTCCTCTCGAACTGGTGCGTCTCTTTCACCAAGGCTTCGATCTGGCCGTCTCTCAATGTTAGTTTTTCTACTGACTCTTTAATTTTTCTGTGAAACACCTCACACTGTGACCGCAGCTGGCGTAAATCACTCCTGTAAGCAGAGAAAGAGAAATTGTGTCATTCCCCTGTAATCAACTTTACACGTCGATATACTTCATACTGCAGATGGAGGGCCGCAGCTACTCTATAAATGACACCAATTGTTCAATTGTTTTATCAGTATTTCAAAAGTATCTACATGGTTTTAACTAAAGGAAATTGCATCAGCAAGTTACTTTTGGTTTTCACTTATTTATTTGCATAATGTCAATACGTTCTTACAAGCAGAGGCGGGTTATCCAAGTGTAGAAGACTAATCCTAAAATCTATCAATCTAATGTAAACATTTGCTAAACATGTCCACAAGGCTGATTCTAAGCAACATCTGACTGTTTTCCATGTGAAACATTTATAGAAATTAAACTATTCAAGGTGTCCGTTCATAAATGTGGGACGAAAGTATGGCATGAAATGTCTGGTTCAACCTTTAATGAAGATAACATAAATTAGAATGTGTTAAATGTGATTTACAAAGTGTCTTAGATCAGTAGAATATGTTATAAAATGGTTGACTTTGCATAACATATTTTTGATATTGATATTATAACCTGCCTACAAAGTGATGGATTGGAATTAAATTCTGAAGATGGAGAGAACAGCATTTTAGTGACACCTTCTGTCTGGACTAATATAACACGCGTGTACTGAAATAAAACACAGGCCGGATGTCAGTGTATTAATGACGAAAACAGACTCACAGTTTGTCACTTAGTTGATTTCGGATCGTTTCAATTTCTTTGTTCATTTCTTCATTCTCAATGTCTGCTTTGAATTCCTCCTTTTTAAGGTCCTGCTGAAGACTCTTTAGCTTGTGGGAGATGTTTGAAAAAGTCTCAATGGCCTAGAGAAACATGTTTATGAAAAAATGTAACAGTCAGACAATGTTTATCAAGGCAACATGGCATGGTCTGTAAAAAAAGATCTTTCATACTTCATAACAGATCTCGTTTCCAGAAGTAAAAATCTCCCAAAACAGACCATGAGCTCAGAGATTGTTTGGCGGTTTTATAAGCTTCTTAACTTAAAAAATTATACATTTCCTGTGAAGTCTTGGGAAACGATCCACCAATCAGTTAAGTCGTGGTTACCAAATGGGCATTACAAATCATGTGATCATTATACACTCGTGAAAAACATTTAAAACATTTGAACTTACTGTCAACAGTTTTATATTGTACTGTAAACCAAAACTAAAACTATTCAAAATCATTAAACATTTTAAGTTAAATTAAATAAGGCTGAAATAAAATAAAATATAAATATAAGATGAAAATCTTAAACATAGAAAATGAAATACAAAAAACTAAATACATATTTAAAAAAGAAATACAAACATTATTAAAAATCTAATAAAAATGACAAAAACAAAACAAAATTCCTAAAACTTAAAATGAAAATACAATGAAAATGTATAAAAAAAATTATATGTATATACACTCACCGGCCACTTTATTAGGTACACCTGTCCAACTGCTCGTTAACACTTAATTTCTAAGCAGCCAATCACATGGCGGCAACTCAGTGCATTTAGGCATGTAGACATGGTCAAGACAATCTCCTGCAGTTCAAACCGAGCATCAGTATGGGGAAGAAAGGTGATTTGAGTGACTTTGAACGTGGCATGATTGTTGGTGCCAGAAGGGCTGGTCTGAGTATTTCAGAAACTGCTAATCTACTGGGATTTTCACGCACAACCATCTCTAGGGTTTACAGAGAATGGTCCGAAAAAGAAAAAACATCCAGTGAGCGGCAGTTCTGTGGGCGGAAATGCCTTGTTGATGCCAGAGGTCAGAGGAGAATGGCCAGACTGGTTCGAGCTGATAGAAGGGCAACAGTGACTGAAATAACCACTCGTTACAACCGAGGTATGCAGCAAAGCATTTGTGAAGCCACAACACGCACAACCTTGAGGCGGATGGGCTACAACAGCAGAAGACTCCACCGGGTACCACTCATCTCCACTACAAATAGGAAAAAGAGGCTACAATTTGCAAGAGCTCACCAAAATTGAACAGTTGATGACTGGAAAAATGTTGCCTGGTCTGATGAGTCTCGATTTCTGTTGAGACATTCAGATGTTAGAGTCAGAATTTGGCGTAAACAGAATGAGAACATGGAACCATCATGCCTTGTTACCACTGTGCAGGCTGGTGGTGGTGGTGTAATGGTGTGGGGGATGTTTTCCTGGCACACTTTAGGCCCCTTAGTGCCAATTGGGCATCGTTTAAATGCCACGGCCTACCTGAGCATTGTTTCTGACCATGTCCATCCCTTTATGGCCACCATGTACCCATCCTCTGATGGCTACTTCCAGCATGTCACAAAGCTCTAATCATTTCAAATTGGTTTCTTGAACATGACAATGAGTTCACTGTACTAAAATGGCCTCCACAGTCACCAGATCTCAACCCAATAGAGCATCTTTGGGATGTGGTGGAACGGGAGATTCGCATCATGGATGTGCAGCCGACAAATCTGCGGCAACTGTGTGATGCCATCATGTCAATATGGACCAAACTCCCTGAGGAATGCTTCCAGCACCTTGTTGAATCTATGCCACGAAGAATTGAGGCAGTTCTGAAGGCAAAAGGGGGTCCAACCCGTTACTAGCATGGGGTACCTAATAAAGTGGCCGGTGAGTGTATATGAATAGAATTTCAAAATATTAATAAATACTAATAGTAAATAAATAATACTAAAATAAAAATGTGGATAGTTAATTTACATATATAAGAACACAGTCTTTTTTCCAATTTCGAAATACTTTACATCTAAATGCTTAGCACTCTATATTGAAAAATTCTAAGAAATACAAAGAAAATAAACGAGAAAAAACGAGCACTGAAAAAGTGAGTGGTGACTGTTGCGCTCCTCTAGTACATTTCAGACTCTTTTAGTTAGACCGACATCCCTTTTTTGGTTGTCTTATTGATTTCAGGTCTTCCAAACAAGCCAACAAACAGGCAGCGCAGTAAACACACCTCACTTTGTGCTGTTCGGATATGCTTCATGATTTCAGTCTCCAGCTGGAGTCTCTCGTTCACGAGCGGGCCGTGTTTCCTCATGAAATCGATTTCCTCCTTCAGACGTCGGTTCAGCACCTCTGTGTTGGTCAGCCTGTCTCTCACCTGCGGCAGCTGATCTCTCCTCATCTTCAGTTGCCACGTCAGCTCAGCGATGTCTGTGCTGCAGGCTTCACGCTCTGACGGTGCAAATATAAGACAGACGAATGCAAAAAGTCAGGAATGGGGCAGAAAAGACATTATTTTGGAGAATAAACTCTTTAAAAGACCCTATAGCATAAAGTTTTGTTGCTTTTAGTCCATCTCTATTAGCTTGAGGTCATCTATATGCTTGTTTACTTTTACACAGTGTTGGGGGTCACGCAGTAACACGAGTTACGGAATCAGATTTCTTTTTCAAAGAAATAGTAAAGTAACGCATTACTTTTAAATTTACAACAAAATATCTTTTTTAGAGTCACTTTTTTAAATAAGTAACGCAAGTTACTTTGTTTCCCCATTTATTGACTGACACCCGCACTAATGTGCAGAGACGTCGTGTGTGTGGTGTAAACGTGACGTTATTGTAGTTTTAGAATAAATATGAACAGGCATTTACTAATCTCACTTGCAAAAAAACACATTCAGTATTCCTCAAAATGAATCAAAACAGTGAAATGGAAACTCAGAATACTACACAGACCTGCAATAATTAAATGTTAAATAACGCAAATATACTTTATGTATTTAATCTCAATTTATTAACCTTTATCATTGTTGCTGACCTTCGATGATCCAATTCAACCATACTAATAAGCAAAAATGACTTTAGATAAACATCACATGTGTGTTTAATTTTTTTGTTTTTATTGCCGACAATGCCGAGTGTTAAATTTTATTCTTCTGTGATCCTGAATGGCAGTTTGTTTGAGCTGCGCCCTCTACTGTACAGGTGTGAATTTGCATTTCCTTCAGTCTGAGGCTTATTCATTTCACTTCTGGTGTGAAAGGGCGTTTACATTTGACAAAAATATAACTTTTTTGTTATTAAAAAACAAACAAGCAAGCCCAGCCCAGGTGAGAAAACGTAACGCATTACACATTAGCATAACACATTACTTAAAAGTAACTTGTAAAAGTAACAAATTGACAAAATAACTTTTTTTTAATCATATACACACATTTAAAATGTACAGTCTTGCTCTTCCTGGAAAATGGACCAAAATGTGTATGACCCTTGTTCATTAAAATGCTATATTAAATATGAATATAAATAAATATAATCTCCTCCCCCTAAAAATAAAGCCTAATAACTATTTCAAAAACAAAAACAAAGGAAGGATGCCTTCAATATGTGCTGTCCCAACCTCCTCTTTTCATTGGAAATATGTCAACAAAGCAGTTATTTTAGTATCATTACTAAACTATCTTAATACTTATTAATATTTTTGAATTAATTTTATTTTTACATTTTATGTTTTCATTTTAGTATTAATAATTTCATTGTGAGTGTTTAGACATTTTTATTCGTTTTTATTTCACTTTTAGTTTTAGTCATTTCAGTACTTCATCTTAAACTAAACGAAAATGTGAAATTGTGACTTCGTAACTAACTGAAAAAAAATCTATTCTCTTTGATTTCTATTAATGGTTGATTTCTTTTAATTAATGTAAATTATTTTAGTATTTGTTGTTTTAGTTAATGCAAAAAACACTGCAACAAAGGAAATAATAGGGTTAATCGGGTTTTAAAGAGGTTTTATGACCTTACTGAAACAACTATTGCGTGTCATGATCAACATCCAGTCTGACCTTTCTGCATTACAACGGGAAACTCATTCTGCTTCCAGACACAGAGACTTTCCAGTTTCTCCAAAAGTTTCTTTGCTTTCTCCTTTTCTTCCTGTAGAGCCTTCTCTGCATCTCTCCGATCCAACTCAAGACGCTCGATCAAACTCATCACCTCCATCAGGACATCTGCGGCCTCCATCCAGAGGGAAGTCAACACCTCACTATCTATTTACAATGACCAAATTATTACCACAAAACACAATATTCAAAAGCTCAAGTGTTAGCAAGTAACAAATTATTCACAGCATAACAAGTCCTAATATGTGCTTGTCCATACTGTGATACGGGATGAGGCATGCTACTACTCAGTGCTAGACCTTTGTTCATGTCAAGTCACATTTATTTATTTGGCGCTTTATACTGTACAATACAGATTGATTCAAAGCAGCTTCACATTAATAAAACAGGAAGATAACAGTGTTAATGCTGTAAAATTCATCAATTATGAAACAAATTCAATTTAAGCGGTAAAGCAGCTCTACAGAAGACAATAGTGTCATCATTATTCATCTCATTATGAAACAAGTTCAATTCAAGCAGCTCGGCAGAAAACAAGTGTCCTTATTCCGCTCGAGTCAGTTCAATGTTGATTCAATTTAGTTCAATAACAGTGTCGATGTTGCAAAGTTAATGTCACTATCCAGCTCAATATTGTTCATTTTTTGATAATATAACTGAATATTAATTGTCTTTTAAACCCCCAAAAAGCAAAGCAAACTAACTGCATATTATAACAAAATATTAATATGGAAGAATGTCATTACCTTGTACACAAAGCCCCATGCCTTCAATATGCAGCTTTGTGCTTCCTATGGCATTTTTGCTTTCAGTAGAAACACATCTAAAAACACAAAGGAAAAATACACTATTTAATCAAAAAAGCTTTAATAATAGTAACTGGATTAAAATTATTTTCTGATGATATGTCAGAGTCCACATACTGTATAATGGGTATAAACCATAAAGACTGCTGACCATAAGTGCTATCTTACTGGAGAAATGGTTCAAATTGATGTATGTGATGTGGAAAATCTATAATGCTTTATGGCTCACTTCCAAATGATGCTGTGGTTGTTTTCATGTGCAGTTTCATGCTGAGCATTATCACCCTAGAAGACAAGAGACATTCATTATTCATTCATTATGTAATATGAGAGCAGAGAAAATAACATGTGATTCAATCCATATAACTGTGAGCTCAATCTGGGTTTGATGTGTGGCATTGGTTTTGATCTAGGAGTTGCATTATTGTGTTTAGGTCTTAGTTTGCATATACAATGATGCCCTATATTAAATAATAAAGTCCCTCATCGGGTTATGTTTGATTTTACCTTCTGGCCCCAATTTTCCAGTTTGGTCTGCAGTTCCTGGATGTGACAAACTGCTTTGTTCACACATGGTGTTGGAGTGTTAACCAGAGCACAGCTGCGACGCCTACTGGAGCAAACCGTCTGCAGCTTTCCCTGCTCTGAAACACAGAACTGACTTTGATCACAGAGATCAAGAAGATCTCGCATTGCACTATATACACTGAAACCCTAAAGTTGGGATGAAACGGAAATTGTGCTATAGTCTTTTCTTTCCCATTGTGAAGTATCCCGCTTCCTGAAATGATTTTTTTCCATGGGGAATTGATTGGATTATTGTGGTTTGCTTTTGGTCGACTTCATGTGAGTGACAGGTTGCCCCGCCCTCTCGCCAGTAAACACATCATCAGAGAAGAGATGTTGTTGCAAGAAGGAGGGGAAGTTATTTTGATTAAAGTTTATAAGGGCACATGAATAAAAAATTAAAAAAAGATTATGATGTGCAGATTGTGAACTGATAAATCATTTATAATAAATACTGCACTACTCCAAAAAAAACAAGAATTGTCCATTTTGATTTCATGATAACTTTAAGGTCAACATGAAATGCCATGCACAACCCCATTTTATGTCCATAATCTGAAGATTTTTGAGTGAAACAGCATATATTCAATAAAGGATGGGCTTTTTATCCAACTGGAGAATGATGAAAACCTACAAAGACGATTTGTTTTTCATTTAGAACAATGCAGATGGAAGAATTGTTCAAAATTAGGGGGTTAGGGTTAGTTCACCCAAAAAATTTAATTATCCCATAATTTACACACCCTCAAGCCGTTCTATATGACTTTCTTCTTTCAGTCGAACACAGTCGGAGTTATATTATAAAAATATCATGGCTCTTCCAAGCTTTATAATGGGAGTGAATGGTACCTGACATTTTGAAGCCCCAAAAAAGTGCATCCATCCATCATAAAAGTAATCCATACGGCTCCAGGGGGTTAATAAAGGCCTTTTGAAGTTAAGCCATGCGTTTTTTGTCAGAAAAATATCCATATTTATAACTTTAAAAACTATAATCACTGGCTTCCGGTAACGGCCGTACGTGAGTCTAGTTCTGGGGGAAGAGTGACCTCTGACTCGACGCATTATACATTGACAAACATGGAAGCGCAGAGGATAGAGCAAAACAAAACACCTGTCACGAATTACAAGCCTAAAACGAGATAAATAAATAAAAATGTCAGAGGAGCTTGAGTTTGAGGCGTGTACTCTCATCTAAGCTTACGCTACTCCTACATCATACGTCATGCGTCGGGTCAGAGGTCACTCTTCCGTCAGAACTACGGCCGTTACCAGGAGCCAGTGATCATAGTTTATAAAGTTAAAAATATGAATATTTTTCTTACAAAAATGCATCGCTTCGCTTCAGAAGGCCTCTATTAACCCCCTGGAGTCGTATGGATTACTTTTATGATGGATGGATGTGCTTTTTGGGGTTTCAAAAACCAAGGTGCCATTTACTACCATTATAAAGCCGGGAGGAGCCATGATATTTATTAATATAACTCTGATTGTGTTTGTCCGAAGTCATATACACCTAGGATGGCTTGAGGATGAGTAAATTATGGGATAATTTTTATTTTTGGGTGAATTAACCCTTTAAGACAGTAAATAGGTTCATTTAGATTTAATGTTGTCTTTAACAATGGCTTGTTGGGGGGGGGGGGGAATTGAAATAAAACTTTTTGGAGCACATTGTAACTAATTTTACAGTATCCTCCATGTATATGTGCTTCTTATTGTGGCTAATCGTATATATTGCTACATTATAATCAAAACGGTTTGGGAATGTATATTATGATCCTCCTGATTCCTCTATACTCCATGCTAAGCAAATAACATTGATAAACAACATTGCATTTTACCTGGTAAGAATGCTTCTTCACTTGAAGGAAACTTGAGTAACTTTATGTCAGGCATCTCTCAAGAAGCATCTATGAAAATCAAAAAATCAATGACTAAATGAATCAATGAACAACTATTGATCACTTTGTCATACCACTAAACCAAATTCTTTTCTAAGCTTAGTTGTCAAACTCTCTCTGAGTCACACAAAAGTAGCTACTGTTGCGGTACAGTATCAGATTGCATTACAATGGTACTTTGATTTTTAAAATATGTTAATGTGGTAAACATTGACTCATTTGTGTTGTGGCATTGACATGAAGCAAAACAGCTCTATAACTACAGTCTACACTAAATAAATACTGTTATCTTAAGTTAATTGGTAATGAACGCCGGGTTAAAAAAAAGGTTAATAGTCGCATATCAGCTGACTACAGCAACACAACAGGTTTGACTGTGATTCACGCTCTCAATACTTACATTATTCCACGCTAAACCGCAGAACGTTCAGCCGTGGATGATATTTATTTTATTTTTGACCCATCAAGCGCGATATGATAAATTTTGACACATATCTCAGCATTGTGTCACGTCGCGGCCTGTTTCATACTTTGTTTCCAGCCCCCCGCTTTCAACGTGCGCGCGCGGTTACTAGGCAACAGGAAGGCTTTCATTCACCACGGACACAATAGACAAAACTGAGAAAGTGAAAAAAAGCCTTTCAGGGTTTCGAAGGTTTGGATGTTGAATGGTAAATACAATCAGGTATTAAATGTATTCCGGCCGGGTCTGGGTGATGAAAAGTTTTAGGACACACTGCGCCACAAAAATAATAATAATAATAAAATAATAATAATAAAGAAGAAGAAGAAGAAGAAAAATGCAAGAATGCAAAGAAATGCTTCAAGAGCATGGACATTAAGCTAAACACAAAAAAATGTACACACACATATATGATTAATCGCAATATAATATACACATAAGTAGGCTACATACAAAAGGTTTTTTTTTCCCTTCTTTTTTTTTTTTTACAAACTTCTATGTTAGATGCGACACACACACACACACACACACACACACAGAGAGAGAGAGTATATATATATATATATATATATATATATATATATAAGGAAATGCCTCTAATTGCCTCAAAAGCAATTCAATTTTTTAAAATAAATTAAAGCAAACAACAGCAAACGCTCGTTGTAGTAATAAATGATAACGATTATCATTTTCGTCTTTAAAATTCAAATAAGCTATATTATATTACAATACATATATTTGTAAAACATTTGTCCCACAAATTATTTGCTCATAACATTTTGCACAAGCCATTTTTTCTATATTCTTAAAATCTATAATGTATTATACAAGAAGAAGAAAAAAAACGTTTAATTTTTACTAATATTTTTTAACATTTCTGCAGAGCACCGATGGCTGTGTTCAGTGGAGAGATTCCGCATTACGTCATCGCGAGAGGCGCATTACGTCACATCAAAGCAAAGGAGCAGCAGAGAGAGAGAGAGAGAGAGAGAGAGAGAGAGAGAGAGAGAGAGAGAGAGAGGTCTGAGATCCGCAGCGCTCTCTTCCGAGTCTAATGCGAGTGAAAACACACTTTTTTATTTATACGCTGAAATCTTCGTCGATAAAGTGCATCGTTTTTACCGCGGATGGTCTTCACTGAACGCAGAGGAACAGAACTGAACCCCGTTTTGGCGATGACAGGCGTTTGGTGAGTAGCAAGTGCACAGAGAACCAGACGCCTCTCATAGCTTCATTGTGAATGCTCCACAGTCCACTACTAACAGGCATAATGCAGATTCTGCAAGTATGATATTAATAGTGTGTATCTGGAACGTTATGTCCTAAATCAAGCTCTGGCTTCAATCCCAGAGCTATGATGTCTAACTCTGTTTATTTTTGGTAATATAAGTATTTTTAAATTCGCTTATTATTGCATGCATCATAGGTTTAATTGTTTACATTTGGTTGAGAATTTTATACAGTGTATTTTGGTTTAGCTACTGTTTTTTTTCATAATTGTATAATTTCCCTAGGTCTGTGAATACTCATCTTACAAATGAAATGGCCTATACATTGTTGGCATTTTATTTGTATTTTCTGTACTTTAAGTGGAATTTGAGTACCAAGATGTTTGGAAAATAGATAGTAGGTCCTACATGCACATAAAGTTAATCTGCTTTCATAAAAGGTATTTCTTTATTTGCTGTGCTGTATTAAATAGATGTTGTTTTTGAAGTGCACCATTGCATGAACTCATCTATTCATGTGGTTAAAAAGAATTGGAGATGAATGAGAAGAAGACAGCATCGACAACATTAGAAAGACTTTCCTGTAAACAGCTACATGTAAATCACAGTCTGAAAGGGCTGTGAGACTTTACCCAGAGTGCTGTGCTGCTTCATAGTGGTACCATGACAATCAGAGTAGCATACAGGGAGTTACTGTGTCTGATTGGGGGAAAAATCAGTTAGGTTGAGTAATGGGTCACTTTGCTGTGGATAGAGTTCTCATGGAATCCAATTTGCAGCTTTATGTGTTTTAGATAATGCATAATAATCTAAAAATTCTGTGACATTGACTGTAGTGACCACTGGTTAATTGACATAGATTTTAGGACTTCAAGCAACACAAGACAGTACCAAATTTTACATAAATATATACACTGTCCGGCCAAAAAAAAAAAAAGAGGTCGCTGTTTGGATTTAAATTGAGGAGACTTTACAGAGTGCTTGACTCTTGCATTGTCAATACAAAAATTGATGCACCTCTTGATGGAAATAAATGTTGTGATGTTATTTCCATCAAGAGGTGCATATGTGTTTGCTCAAGATCTTGTATTGACAATGCAAGAGTCCAGCACTCTGTAAAGTCTCCTCCAGCACATCCCAAAGACTCTCAATGAATTTAAGGTCTGGACTCAGAGGTGCCAGTTCATGTGTGGAAATGATTCTTCATGCTCCTCCAAACCATTCTTTCACAGTTTGAGCCTGATGAATCTTGACATTGTCATCCTGGAATATGGCCATGATGTGTTTTCCTACATGGTTGTTTAAGAAATGAAAAGCTAAACTCTCCATCAATTAGGGTTAGAAGAACTCTTGCCAAACAAATAACACGATAGATCCATAATAATCACTGCAATAATGATCCAATCATAGACTCTTAAGCATTTGCCTATTTAAAGGTGAACTAAGTAACTTTTTTACCTTAACCGAACAGCTTTGGAGTCGTTGTAATGTTTATATTACTGATTTCATGTTGAATGGTATACAGTATAATATATATATATATATACACTGCACGGCCAAAAATATTCAATTTTAGCCTGCTTTGATGTCAGTTTCATATGGGACATGTACTGTAGCAATGTCGTTTCTCAAATAGATGCATTATGTAGTTTTGGAAAAATGCAGCAACATTAGCTGCTATCAGTTCCTCCCACAGACGGTTTAATGCAAGTAATCCAGTGCTAATTACTCTATGAAGACACTTCGAACAGCTGCTTCATGTAGAACATGACTTTGTCCTCCAGGTCAGATCTGGACGTATTATATGCCAACCGACTTCAAGGGCGAACAACATCAAAAAGCACAATTTCATGTTTTTCATTCAACCTGCCATACTAAATAAATCACCCACAGAGAGTGACAAAAAACGGAGTCGGCCTCAAAATGCCTGGATGCCACCGACTGTCCAAAAGGATATTTATAGACCTGGAGATCCCAGAGCCACAATAAAAGGAGAAAGGGAGAGAGCGCGAAATATTAGACGAGTGACTCTGTGAAATATGGCATCTCTCTAGAAATGTCCCATTAGAGGGCTTGAATTACAGTCCTCTCTAGCAAGCCGTTCTTGCGTAGCCTCATCATTTTGCCTAATAATTTCACACAGAGTCTTTAAACTGCAAACAACTCCACAGGCCCTTCTTACAGGACCAGGCCTCCCAGTGGAGGGATAGGGGACGGTACAAACTTGCAACCAGAGCTAGTCCAACAAGAATGTGAGTCTCTCTCATTGGAGGTTAAAGATAGAGGCAACACATGCTGGATCCTGACGGGTTCTTATTTCAGTCGGCTGCCAAGAACTCGAAGGGACGCTTTTGTTGTGTTTCGACCTGACGAAAAGCGTTATTAAAACCTTTCAGACTTGTATTGATCACTCATAAATAAGCAAGAGGAGGACTATGGTGCTGTCTGAAGGGTATCTGGTTTGAATTGTCACGTGTATTTGTTGTTTTCATAGCAACGGTTTGTTTATATCGCTTCCATTTGGTTTAACATGATAGATGCAGTGTTGAAACAGTGAACCAAAACACTAAATTACACTTAATTACGCTGTGGCAGCTTGTTTATCTCTGATGTGAGTTCAATAGGGTAGATAAGTGTCACATTACTGATGGATGGACTTTTTTTTGCAGTGCATTCTGGATATTTTTCACATCTGCAGGTGAATTTGATAGCGATGGTTGGATGTGTAGTGCTTTGTCCCCGTGTTGTTCTGAACTCTGGGATCTCTGGGATTGTGATTGAACATTCCTTAAAGTTAACTGAGCATTAAAAGCTTTGTGAAGGATGGAGTTTAACTTCTCTAGGAGATCAAACTCATGTTTCCTCTTATGGTTTAATCCAGGTGTTGTTTTAAAGAGAAGGGAAAACCTGATTTAAAAGTTTTCATAGTATTAAAGCATTTTTAATGCATGGCATTTAAGGTTATGATGGTACGAACCAATCTAAGACATAGTTTATATCTCACAATTCTGAGAAAATAAGTCAAATTGCGAGTTTACTGTATATACACACAATTCTGACTTTATAACTCGCAATTGTAAATTTAAATCTCGCAATTCTGTTTTTATAATTCGCAATTGTGTTTATATTTCGGAATTCTGACTTTATAACTTGCAATTGTGTTTAAATCTCGCAATTCTGACTTTATAACTCACAATTTCGAGTTTATATCTCACAATTCTGAGAAAAAAAGTCAGATTTGGGAGATAAAAACTCGCAATTGCGAGAAAAAAGTTAGAATTGCGAGATATAAACTCACGATTCTGGGGAAAAAAGTCAGTCTTTTTTCTCTTAGAATTTGACTTTATTTTTTAGAAAAAAAGTCAGAATTGTGAGATAAAAGTTTCAATGATCTTTTCAATAGTTTCTTCCATACGATACAGCTGTTGTTTGGTCGCAGTAAAAGAAGATGGTATTGTACTGAATGTCACAAGGCAGTGATCTTGTAAATGTTATTTTTAATCAAGGTCACAAGTGGAGTCCAAAACCTCTGTTACTGTCTACAATGTGAATCATGACAAAATGTCTCTATAGAAGAAGCCAGGGAGATAAACATGAATTACACCAAGGAACATGTCAGTAGTGGGTCACAGGTCTATTCTGGTATAGGGTTGCAGACAGCAGGGAAACACAGTGCTAAATACAGTACAAATGATGAAATGCAATTAGCAATAATTGTGTATAGTTAGAATAGCAAAGTAAATAGTCTTATCATCTTTTAAAAAGGAGGAGAAAGTGCTTTCCATATCTATTGTTGTTGACGTCAAAGGTTGTGGGTCCGATCAAACTCGCAATTTTGTTGCAAATTCATCTGTAACTTGTCTGAAGCAAGTCGAATTAGGCAGATCTGACATTTATGTAGCACTTTAGTGTCTTGAGTTTATCTTGTTGTTGTGTATTGTTATATACAGTTTCTTTTTTTATTTTATTAGTCTTATTAAATTTGCAGTGGAGTTTTGATAGAGCTCAAAACTGTGGAGAGTATTGTAATACATTATAAATGTTGTTTTACCCATAATGATTGTTAATTCCTCAAAAGATCTATTTTCAGCCCAGTTTGCCTTCACAGCTGTGGGACGCCTGTCACATTGTCCTTTTGTTTTCTGTATGTGTGATGTTTCGCAGAATGATTGAAGAGTCTGGCCGCAACAGAAGCACCATGGCAGACAGAAGACTACTGTTTGCTGAAATGCGTATGTATTTAACTCATTAATCCATAATCAAGCTAACATGCTGATAATAGGAAATACACTTCTGTTCAAAAGTTTGGGGTCAGTAAGATTTTTTTTAAAGAAATTAGTTCTTCTTTTCAGTAACTAAGGATTCATATTTTTACTTTTTTTAAATATAATTTTACTAAAGATTTTTATTTTAAATAAATGCTCTGTTAATCAAGGAATCATGAAAAAATATATCACCATTTCCACAAGAATATTAAACTGTTTTTAACATTGATCATAATAATAAATGTTTCTTGAGCAGCAAATCAGCATCATATTAGAAAGATTTCTGAAGGATCACGTGATACTGAGTAATGATGCTGAAAATTCAGCTTTGATCACAGGAATAAATTACATTTAGCAATATATTCAAATAGAAAATAGCTATTTTAAAGTGTAATAATATTTCACAATTTTAACTGCATTTTTTAAATGAAATAAATGCAGTCTTGGTGAGCAGAAGAGACTTCTTTCAAAAACATAAAAAAAATATTACCAACCCCAACTTTTTTATTGATGGTCTAGACATGCTAACAGTTCTTCAAATAATTTCCCTGTTGAGAAAAAAAAACCTTTCTTAACCAGCCTAAAGTGGTTAGGTTACTTGTTCTTCACACCTAGCCAAGCTATGTTGTCTAGTCTAGTGTGTTTTGCTGGTTTTAGACAGGTTTTGGATGGTTGACCACCTGCCAAAGCCACCTAAACACCAGCTTGACTAGGTTGGAAGACCAGCTAGACCGTCTTAAACCGGCTAAGACATCTTAGGCTGATTTAAACTGTATGGTCTGCCATGTACTGTACGTTCAGTAAATGTGATGTTTTGATCTCACAGGTGCACTAGATCTGGACTCCATCAGATTGTCCACGTATAGGACAGCATGCAAGCTGAGATTCATTCAGAAGAGGTGCAATTGTAAGTTTGAGGGTGTTTACTGCAAAAGATTGTACTGTAATATAACTTTAATAAGTGTTTTTTGACACAAACATTCTGATTGCAACTTTATTTAGTATTCACAGTAGCTTCAGTCTTTGGAAATAATGCAATTCCAGATATTGCCATTTGTTCTTTGCTTCTTGCAGTGCATTTGGTGGACATCTGGAATATTATCGAGGTGTTCCGGGAAAACAGACTCAACTCCATGGACCTCAACACAGAGTTCTCAGTGTCAAATTTGCAAGCAATACTGTCCACCATCTTTTACCAGCTGAACAAGCGCTTGCCCACAACCCACCAGATCAATGTAGACCAGTCTATCTCGTTCCTCCTCAACTTCCTGCTAGCGGCCTATGACCCGTAAGAAACCCTGACTGAATCATCTGCACACTGCAAAAAAATGCTTTTCTTACTTAGTACTTTTTGTCTTGTTTCCAGTCCAAATATCTAAAAATTCTTAAATCAAGATGCATTTACTATATGAGTGAAATGCCATAAGATATTATATCCTGTTTTCCGAGGGAATTCATTCAAATTAAGTGAGTTGATGCTTTAAAAAAGTAAAATTTTCTGCCAATGGGGTAAGAAAAATAATCATAATTCAAACAGAAACAAGATTATTTTTCTGACCCCATTGGCAGATAATTTTGCTTGTTTTAAGCAAAAACTCACTTAATTTTGATTAATTCCCCCAGAAAACAAGACTTAATATCTTATGTCATTTTACAACTTTAGTAAATGCATCTTGATTTAAGAAATGTTTGATATTTGGACTGGAAACAAGACAAAAATACTAGCATTTTTTTGTAGTGCAGAGCTACCTTAAATCTGTCTAGTATGACATTAATTTAAGTGTAGAAAGAATAAAATTGATTTGAAGTACATGGCACTTCATTGTCTTCACTTGATCTAACTAGAATTTCTTTATACATCACTTGCTTTGCTATATGTGACCGTCTAAGGCCTGGTTTCACAGACAGGGTTTAGATTAAGCCAGGATTAAACCTTAGTTTAATTAGGACATTTAAGTAGTTTTTTATGAACATGCCTTAGAAAAAACATTACTGGTGTGCATCTTGAGACAAAACAATGACACTGACATATTTTTAGATATGCCAGTGCAAGTTGCGTAACAGCCTCAAAGATGCATTGTAGTCTGGGACTAGACTAAGCCTTGTCTGTGAAACCTGGCCTAAATGTGTTAGATGACGATTGTGTCTTTTCTAGGGAAGGTGTGGGAAAGATCTCTGTTTTTGTGGTGAAGATGGCCCTGGCTGCCCTCTGTGGAGGGAAGATTTTGGATAAACTACGATGTAAGTTTCACTTTGGCTTTGCCTTTGAACTGATGAGTGTTCAATGGTTTGATGCTGATTAATGGACACTTAAGTGAATGGACAGAATTAATCATTCTATCATCATTTTAAAGGTCAGAGCAGCTGTCGTTACTTGAAAGTCATATTTGAAAGGCATATTTGCCTCTCATGACCATGTCAGTATAGTTGGAAGTGTAGTTAAAACTTTTCGCCTCGTTTCTGCTGATTCATTCCTAGTAATGAAACTTTAGATTACACTAACGTTTAAAAGATTGGGGTCCTTAATATTTTTTTTAATGTTTTTTAAAGAAGCATTGTATGCTCACCTTCAGAAATCATTCTAATATGCTGGTTTGCTGCTCAAGAAACATTTCTTATTATTATCAATGTTAAAAACTGTTTATAAAAGTCTTTGATGAATAGAAAGTTTGGTCCAATTCTCACTTTTAACTATGACTTTTGCCTCAATAAACTCCTAATTACTGCTTATTAATAGTTAGTAAGGTAGTTGTTATGTTTAGGTATTGGGTAGGATAAGGGATATAGAATATGGTCATGCTGAATAATTAATTAATAAAACACATTAATATGTGGTTTATAAGTACTAATAAACAGCCAATACCCTAGAAATATGCATGATAATAAGCAACTAGTTAATAGTGAGAATTGGACCCTAAACTAAAGTGTTACCGAAAGTTCAAAAGAACAGATTTTAAAAAAATAAATTTGTCACTTTTTATTAATTTAATGCATCCATGCTAAAGAAAACTATTCATTTCTTTTTTACCCCACACACCCACACAACCTTTTTAGGGTAGTGTACAGTATATGCTGATATTTAGATGAAGAACTAAACATTTCTATACATTAAATAAGGAAAATTGTTTCCTGTCTGCATCACGCTTTGAGTTATTAAAATCTACCTGGATCTAAATGAACATAGTTTCTTTAAAAAAAAAAAAAAAATTGATCACTCCTGATGCTTGTCTTTTTTTCTCAAGATGTATTTTCACAGATATCGGACCCAAATGGTATAATGATATACTCACAGTTTGACCAGTTCCTAAGGGACGTGCTGAAACTGCCCATGACGGTTTTTGAGGGACCATCTTTTGGGTACACTGAGCAGTCCACGAGAAGCTGCTTTCCACAAGAGGTTTGTGAACATATACAGTGTATATACACACACACACACACACACACATATATATTTAATGTAATTCCATGCATAAATATGCGCCTATCATATGATACATTCGAGGCGTGCTATTACTTATTTAAGCAGTCAGACTTACACTATCATTCGGAAGTTTGGGATCAGTTACTTTTTGTTTGTTGAAAGAAATTAATACTTTTATTCAGCAAGGATTACTAAAATTGATTTGAAGTGATAGTTAAAGACTTTTATAATGTTGTAAATGCTGTTCTTTTGAGCTTTGTATTCATCAAAGAATCCTAATAAAATATGATCATGGTTTCCACAAAAATATTAAGCAGCACATCTGTTTTCAGCATTTATATTAATAATAAATGTTTCTTGAGCAGCAAATCAGCATATTAGAATGATTTCTGAAGGAACATTTGTCACTGAAGACTGGAATGATGCTGAAAATTCAGCTTTGCATCACAAAAATATATTACATTTTAAAATATATTCAAATAGAAAGCAGCTTTTTTAAAGTTTGAATAATATTTCACAATATTACTGTTTTTACTGTATTTCTGATGAAATAAATGCAATCTCAGTGAGCAGACGAGGCTTCTTTCAAAAAGCTTTTCAAAAGCACAAACTTTTGAATGGTATGTTTCATTGCACGGCGGACAATAAAACTCAAAAACATAGCAGCGTCCTTGCAACCACCAGAAAGTTTTGCGTGGGCTAGCACCATTCACAATTTCTTCAGAAAATGTAAAAAACTTTGTTTTTCACTTGTATGTTGTACATGGTATTTATTGACTCATTTGTTTACTAACCGCTGGCCTTCCACAGAAAAAGGTCTCGCTCAATGTGTTTCTTGACACATTCATGTCGGATCCTCCTCCTCAGTGTCTGGTTTGGTTACCGCTGATGCATCGGCTGGCAAATGTTGAAAACGGTGCGTCATTCTACACTTTTTTACAGCAAAACATTTATATATATTATAACTTAAATGAATGACAAATATTGTTACTGCTCTTGATTAGTAGAGCTGACTTTATTTTGCCCCTCTCCTCTCTAGTCTTTCATCCTGTTGAGTGCTCCTACTGCCACGGCCAGAGCATGATGGGATTCCGCTACCGGTGCCAACAATGTGATAATTACCAACTTTGCCAAGAGTGTTTCTGGAGGGGCCATGCCTCGGGCAGCCATAGCAACCAGCACCAGATGAAGGAGTACATGTCATGGGTAGGTGAACGGCCTTGTGGGATCGTGACTGTGAGTAAGTGTCAGTGACGGCCTGAGTCCCGTCATCCAAACAGTCAAATCACTTTATGCCTTTATACTAAATGTCATGACACCAGTCTAAATCTGACTCTGCACAATGAATTCACTTCTTTGGTAGCATTTACATTTTTTTTCTCTTTTTGTCAAGCTGACTAATATGGGTTTTTCAAATGCTGATGCCAACATGGCGATATATTGACTGTGTATAAACTATAGGCTACCGTTCAAATGTTTGGGTTCGGTCAAAAGTCTCTTATGCTCACCAAGGCCGCATTTGTTTTGGAATATTGTGAAATATTTGTACAATTTAAAATAACTGTTTTCTATTCTAATATATTGTAAAAAAAAAAAAATTTATAATAATAATAAAAAAAGAAATCCTGTGATCAAAGCTGAATTGTCAGCATCATTACTCCAGTCTTCAGTGTCACATGATCCTTCAGAAATCATTCTAATAAACATTTATTATTATTATCAATGTTGAAAAAAGTTGTGCTGCTTCATATTTTTGAGGAAACAGCATTTATTTGAAATATAAATCTTTTGTAACATTATAAATGTCTTTACTGTTAAGTTTGATCAATTCAATGCAACCTTGCTGAATAAAAGTATTAATTTCTTAAAAAAAGGAAAGAAAAGAAAAGATCGTATAGAGCCCAAACTATTGAACGGCTTGTGTACAATACAGTACAATCATTTTAATGATGGCAGGGGAAATGTACACAAAATTGCTGAAATGAAATAAACATGTATTTTACACAATATTTACCAAAAAAGAAAATTTGGGGAAGTGATTAAATAATTTGTACATGACCATTTTCCATCCCATCCCTGACTAGAATTAAACATGTATTATCTGTTATTGTACATTTAAGACCTCTATATGTAAATAATCTCTCTTATGATACTCTATGTATTTCTACATAAAACATTTACATTTAAAAAAGAAGAGTTGAGAAAATCCTTTTCATTAAACATTTATATGTATTCTTATGGATATCAATTCTTCTGGTTCACTACAGTTCTTTATTTTTCTCCAGAAATCTCCAGCTAAGAAGTTGTCAGACGCTCTCAGTAAATCTCTGAGCTGCGCCTCCAGTCGAGAGCCTCCTTACCCGATGTTCTCCGATACACCCGAGAAACCGCTCAACCTCACTCATGTTGTGTACGTGAACTCACATTTTGCTCAGATGGATAGTGTCAAATTGTTGACTATATGACTGTACAATGAATTTATCATGAATTGTGCATGCTAACATTTTCCTGCCTTGTGTTTTTCGCTTTTATGCTGAAAAACAGTGACACATGGTAAGTAAAGTGATATAGAGACATATATCCTCATATGTTGTAGGATTTCACAATAATTTGATGGGCATAACTAATCTTAGACACATTGAGATATTTGGCACTACAGTACGGCAGTACAGTATTGTTATTTCCTCCAGGCCTCCCAGACCTGTGAACAGTGGGAATGAATACATGCTCTCTCACTCCATGCCTTCCTCAGGAAACCCTTACTCCAGCAAAACGTGAGTATAAAACTGGACAGCACAAACTTTCAACAGAATGATGTTTGATGTTAAGTGTTGTTATTGGTAACTAAAACTATTCAAAGTCATTTTTTTATGAAATAAAGCTGAAATCAAATAAATTATACATATTGTACACTTAAACTTGAATGAAAGTTAGAAATGTTTCCTTGTCATCCAACTGAAATAAGTGGCAACACTTTACAAAAAGGTCTCATCTGTTAACATTAGTTAATTCTTTAACAAAACTAACAATGAGCAATATATTTTTACAGCATTTATTAGCCTTTGTTAATGATTAACATTACCTAAGATTATTAAATGCTGTAGAAGTATTGTTCGTTTTTAGTTCAAGTTAAGTTAACTACCGGTAATCTAGTTTACTAATGTCAACAAATGGAACCTGTAAAGTGTTACCAATAAGTTGAAGTTGAAGTACTAAAATTGAAATGAAATATATATATATAATAAAATGACAAGCATATAAAAAATTGCTAAAACTGAAAATCTAAAAAAATAACCAAATTCGAATAAATAACGCAAAACTATATAAATGATTATAAATTATACTAAAATTACACTGGTTTTGACGCATGTTCAGATCCCTTTATGGTGTGTTCTAAACATGTTTGTTTAAGTATACATGAGTTGCTCATTAATTTGTTTTATTATATCTCATTTTGGGGGTAAAAAGTGCTCTTGATGAGACAAAGCAAATGAAGCTGTTTTCCCGGACGACCCCAGATCTTTTAAAAGGCAAAGGGTAAGTTAGCCTGGTTGAAATAATGTGTATATGTCAACTGTTCTAAGTGATTATGAAGTAATAAAGAAAGATCTTGTAATGACTTCCAATGGGCTACATGGAAATGTTTTGAGTAGATGCAAATAAAAACAAGGCTGTGAGGGATTGTTTTGTATCAGATTGTCATTTGTTCAGCCAAGAAAAAATAGCAAATTTCAAAATTTTGTCAACATAATGACATATTAAATGAATTGTACTTCCATCCCGCACAACCCTATTTAATTTGCATCAAGATAAATATGACATCAACTCTAACTAAAGTATTGTTTGCATTCTGTGTTTTTGGTAACATTTTACAGTAAGGTCCCATTAGTTAACGTTAGTTAATGCCGTAACTAACTTTATCTAGCAATTAACAATAAATTTTTTACAGTATTTATTTATCTTTGTTAATGTTAGTTAATAAAAATACATAATACATACATTTAATACATTCAAATTAAAAGAAAGTTGTGTGACTCCACCATTACAACTGCAGAAAGTTGCTTCTGAAAAGTCATTGTGACGTCATCTGTGTTTCTGAAACGTGGTTTCAGGGTTCAGTACAGCCTCGATATTGCGGATAGGCTCGCAGACGAGCACATACTTATCGGACTTTATGTGAATCTCCTCCGAAAGGACCGTTCATGGTCAGTGTGAGCTGTCGGTCTGTCTGAGGTTGCTGTGGCACTTTTCTTCCTAATCTGTTTTTATAGCTTAGGTCACCATGTCAATCTGGTAATACGCTAAATTCAATACAACATTGTTAATGTCAAACTATCATTTGAAAGTCTTTCCACATTTGAAATGTTCCTAATTTAATTCCTGAGTTGTAGAAAGGATCCCAGATGTGGGATGGTGACTATTCTGGCCACAATTCTGTCTTATGTTTGCAGCTTGCTAACTGGCTAGGCTTTTGTTGTGTTTAAGCAGTGTTTTTACTCTGTGTTGATCATATTACATTTCACTGCCATAGAGCACAACAGTCCAGAGGTAAAAATGCCCTTCCTTTTCACCACAGAGAGATTGACTTTCAGCACGAATGAATACATTTTTTAGTAAAGAACTACCATGAGCTAGCAATATGCTTCTATAGAGTGTGATTTCAAAAATCATGATTAATCGCTGAATTCCCAGTGAAGAAATACACTACCCATAATCCTACACTATCCATAATTCACCAATTCCATGGGAACAGGAATCGTGCCAAAACAGCTCAGTAGTGAATGTCTCCCTGGACTCTCAAATAATGTATATACAGTATATATGGCTATTTAGCAATAAACTATACAATAGAAGTTATATGAATGCACAAAAATATTGTTTTATAATCTATAGATTTATACTTTACTATTTCAAGTATGTAATTTGAAATGCTTTATATAGCATTCCTGTATCTCAAACATTAGATAAAGATTATGGGTTTGATTCCAAGGGAATGCATGTAAGTGATAAATGCAATGTCAAATTGGATAAAATTATCAAAAAACAAAACTGAAAAGACAAACGTTTCCTTAAGGACACACAGTGACAGGAGTTAAATGAATCCATCCCAAACTCTAATTTGACCTCTCATTTTTATGACAAATTTTTTTGACCTAATTGTAAACTTCTAATTTGATTAATGATGAACATATGCATTGTTTTGAACGTGTAAATGGGTCTTTTTTGTGTGTGTGGATTTTGTGTCATTTTGTGCATCTATTTGGTATGGAAAAACAGAAAATACACCATCAATGATCTACTTTAGCCACAAGTCTTTAAACAGGTGTGTTTTTCTATCTGAAAGGCTGATCTGCTCAAGGATGTGATTTTTCCCGTCCATAGGAACCTATACCTTCAGCTACAGTATATGCACATATGTTTACCCATTACGCAACACCCTTAGCTATGGCTGTGTTTTCCCAGCAAAGTTGTCTAATATGGAGATTATCCTTGCATTTGCTCCTAACATTGCAATGTTTTTTGGGGGAAACTGGGGCTCTATGGTCTTCATGCTTTGCTTAGATCCTGAAATGTGCTGGCAATGCTATTTTATTCTGCCATTAGGGTATTATTGGTGACTTATTTCACTAAAAATATGTTCTTTTGATTTATAAAACCTATTTTATAAATTTTGCAAGAACTTTCTTGTGATTTTCAATATGAAAACACAAAAATATTTAGCAAAACAGTATATGTATTAATGTATGCAAAGTAAATTTATAATATATATATATATATATATATATATATATATATATATATATATATATATATATATATATATATATATATATACTGTATATGTTATTATTATTATTATAAACTAACTTTGCATAGGCTACTAATTGCTATAGTAATGTTGCAGTAAAAGCTTTTGTGATTCTGAACTAGTAATTGTAGTATTGTAGTTGACTGAGCTTTGTTCCTTTCCCTGATTGATAGTTTCCAAGAGAGCAGTAATAACCAAGATGATGAGCACTGCCTCATTGCCCGTTACGCCTCCCGATTGGCTGCTGATGGAGCTGCAGTGGTAAGACGGCCAATCAAAATGACGATAAGATGTTATGGACAATGGTAGTGTATGTTGGTAGTTGGAAAACCAGTTTTGAAACAACCTTTATATTTGCAATTACACTTGCAATTATTTGTGCAATTAAGCTTGTGGCAGAGAAATGACACACTTCATCTTTAACCATAGATATATGTAAATAAATTCATGTAAACAACTCTATAATCTGACTATTGTTAACAGAAGACCAGAGTCCCAGCAGACATCTCTCTCTGTCTGGACACCAATAAACAGCAGCGGCAACTTATCGCCGAGCTAGAGAACAAGAACAAGTGAGTATGAGACTGTTTATTATGGTACTATTGCACAGTGATCTGAATTTGCATTCTTAAAGTTAATAAATTGTGTATTTTCAGGGAGATTTTGCAAGAGATACAACGCCTGAGACAACAACATGAAGAAGCTTCCCAGCCTCCATTAGACAAAAACCAACAAAACCCAATGTTACTGGCTGAACTGAGACTGCTCAGGTAAGCACACACACACACACACGCACGGAGCGTACAGCCGTGAATCAGACCTGAAACCGGATCGGATGTGGTGAACAGCAGATGCTGATGGTTACGAGATAGACTGCATTGAAAGTGAGTGTAACCTGATCATGGCTCCTCTAATGAACGAGTGAAAGTACTTTAAAAGCAATTTGCAACACTGAGACTCCTTCCTGTTTGTAGACATCACCAAGGCAGATTTGAATGGTGAACTGAGTCAAGCGTGCATATTTAAATAAGCTCTAGTCCTTCAATTTAGAAACTTTACTGTGGTTTTACTCAAGTAACATTAATTGTAGTAACACTATATTTTGGTGCAAAAGTTCTAGATTAGGGAAGTGAGAGAATCTGCTTGTTTTGTGTAGCAGTTTTGGTTTCTAAATTTGTTTTTATGTAATTATTATTTTCATAATGAACATCATAGTTACATTTATGGAAAATAGATTTTTACATATAATTAAAACATACTGCAAATACCACAGTTAAGAACATGGTTCCCAGGGACGAACTATAGTAAATAAAAAATTGTATATGCTTATTCACCTGCTTTTCTTTTCTTTAATGTAGAAAGCATCTGTTACAAATGTTTTTGGGGGAATTCGGCATCTTATTCATAAACCACCCATAAAAGCTGTTCACACCAAGAACGATAACTTTAAAGATAACGATAACTATATTAGCGTCCACACCTGACTAAATCGTTCTGTTTATTTAAGCGCGCTGTTGCTTTAAATGCTCAAGCTCTTTAAAGGAGGATGGATTCTGATTGGCTGTCAATCATTCATCAACTGGAAAAAATTGCTTTGAAAAATTGATTCCAACTACAGTATACTGTTTCTCTGTACCATTATAGTTATAGTTGTGGTGTGGACTCAGCTATTATTTTACATTTAGAACGATTTTTAGAAGTATATCTTTATCGTTATCGTTATATTTATCATACTCGGTGTGATTGGGTGTTTAACCAGGCACTACATGGCACTACACCATGCAAATTGTGTTCGGCACAGATTTTTTTTTTGTGTTTACGCAATTTGCATAATGTATTTAGTGAATGTAGTGGTAAACAGCACAGAGAGCACATGCAAATAAACAACACTTTTAGGCTGTTAATTTTTGCACAATTCATTTTGAGTTAATGTCAAAGTTATATCGATAACCTTGTGGCTTTCTTTGTCTCAGGCAGAGGAAGGAGGAGTTGGAGCAGAGGATGTCGGCTCTTCAGGATAGCCGCCGAGAACTTATGGTCCAACTAGAACACCTCATGCTTCTGTTAAAGGTAGAAAAGGTCTCACACACACACATAAACAAATGATGATTGGACAATTTTGAGAAGTTAAATTTATAATGTGGAGATGCAGAAATCCCTGTTAATGAGCTGAACTGCTCCATCTACAGGAAGAAGAGCTAAAAAGAGCTGTAAGTCAGTAACAAAACTGTGTATTAATATACTGGTAGCACTTTATTTTTCAGTCCTTTTCCCCATGTACATACATACTATGTACAATAAATGGGTAATAACTAGGTACTAACCCTGAACCATCCCCTAAACATAACCTAAACCCATGTAGTTAGCTTATATTACCCAGTACTTTCTTAGCTAAGTACACACGCACTGTAAAATAAAGTGCAACTAATATACTTCCTCTGACTTGAGATTAAATGTATGTTGTGCGTTTGTTCTCCCTAATATTAAACTATAATAATAAATGTGTTGTGTTGGTTGTGTCTTTGGCATCCAGAACTTACTTTTGTTCATTTAGCACATTATAGCACAAATCAAAGTTAACGCATGCTGTTATTCAGACTGACTACATTCCAGCATGTCGATCACATACTCTAATTCTTCTTTGTATGATTTTGAACAAACTTCTAACCCTATAATAATAATAATAATAATAATAAACTTTCATATGTAACTCAAAGTCCTTTATTGTTGTTTGTGCTATAGACATGAATTATTAGCTAAACAACTGGCAAAAAAATCCATATAGGGACCTGAGATTTGTTTTTTTTGGGATCATTATTAAATTTACAAAGATTTAACTTTAAAATTAATGTATTTTATGATATGTTTTTGACACTTATTCAGACACTATGGGCACCTAATGTTGCAGTGTTTTTATGATTAATTCAGTGTTGTTTTAGAATTATACTTATGCTGTTACAGTATGTATTAATTTTTTAATTAGCTTTAATTTGTCATTTTTTCAGTTTTCATTTGAATGTATTTTAGGTTTTAATAGTTTTATGTGCTTTGTCATTTAAAAAAAATCTATTTAGCTTTACTTTACATTTATTTATATTTTAGTTTAAAGTCATTGTAGTACTTCAACTTCAACTTTTTTTTATTTCAGTTAGTTGCCAAGGTAACATTTCTAATTTGCATTTTAGTTTTTTTAAATGAAGTATTTTTATCTAATATTTAACCTTTATGCCAATTAACAAAAACAGGGTTTCGGCAGGTCTTAAAAGGTTTTAAAAAATGAAGACCTTAAAAAAAGGTCTTAAATCAGAGCAGAAAGTCTTAAATTCATAGTCATGGCATTAAATGTTGCATGCACTGCCAAATTTTGTCCTGTTTTCCAATCCAAATATCTAAACATATTTAAATATATTTTTGATGCAAATGTGAAATGAAGTCTTGAAAAATATACAGTATGTCAATGAGTTATGAAAACTTTCTGAGACCATATTTGTTCTTGTTTAATCATAAGCTCACTTCATTTGGATAAATTTAACAGAAAACAAGACTTCATATTTTATATCATTTTGCATTTCCAGCAAATGCATCTTGATTTAAGAATCTAAATACATTTGGACTGGAAGACAGGGCAGAGAGTCTGAGGAAAAACATTGCTTTTTTGCAGTGTGATCAGAAGGTACAGTAAACGTTATTTCCATATTCTAGTGGTTAAAAGCAGAACGATTCAAGCTACTTTTTTTTGTAAATTGAATTTTAAAAAAAAAGGATATCTTTTGGAAGTTGTATTTTCAAACTCTAAAAGTGTTGCTAAAACAAATCATTGTTTCTCCCTAGACATTCACATTTAGAGAACATGTTAACATTAATAAAAATGTATTCCTTAAATTTGATTTACTTGTTTTTAAAAAGTCTTACATTTACCTTCATAAAACCTGCAGAAACCCTGAAAATGATTTTAACTGTTTTAGTTTTAGTTAAAAATAACAACACTGGATTAAGCAGTTTTGATTTTTATCTTACAGTCATATAATCTCCTTTTGTTTCCTAGAACCAAGGCCCTGGCCACTCCCCTCGCTCCTCCCCCAGCCACACGATCAACATCCAATCAGTGTCCGGCAATACCACACCCATCCCCATGCCTGTCCAATCAACATCCGGCAATACCACACCCAGTCAGACGCCTCAGGACTCGCTAATGGGCCTGGGAGGAGAGGTGCAGCAGGCCTTCGCTCTGGGTAACCAACATGTTCCTCTTGCATTTGAAAACAATTTCAGCCAATTAAAACCAAGATATACTGCAGGGTTGCCAGGTTTGTGTAACAAACCAGCCCAATTGCTATTGAAAACCTGCCCAATCATGGCCGTTCTGGGAAGGTTCCCCAGTAAAAATCGTAAAAAACCTGTATTATTTGATCTGTAAAGATCATTTTGGAGTAATAGTGCTTTTCTAGATTCCATGTAAACAGCTTAACTAGATTAAATTGAACCCCAAATCTTCCTGTAAACCAGTGTTTCTCAACCAGGGGGCCTCAGCAAGCTTCTAAGGGGGTCTCAAAATTATTTAAAATGAGACAAAACAAACATTAAAATGTTCTTGAACATCCAAAACATCTTGAACAAGATTTATTTAAATTTTTTTCATTAATTAATTAGGAGTACATTTTAATTCACCCACTGTCTAATCCATCCCAAACCTGTCCTGGAAAATCTGGAAAAACAAACATTAAAATAAGCCAAAACATCTAGAGCAAGATATTTCAATGTGAGATCTGTTTTTCTTTAATTAATTGGGAATTAATTTAAATCCACCCACTGTCTAATCCATCCAAAAACTGGAAAATCTGGAAAAATGAGGAAGTCTTTAAAAATGTAGACCTGTAAAAGTCATGTAAGTTAATAAGACCATAAAAGTCCATGGCCATTTTAATAATGATTATTATTGAAATGAATATAACAATTTTTCTAGCTATGCCATGCTAAAATATTTTATGGAGTAGAAATTGAGAGTAAAATTATTATTTTTTAAATAATTATCCTTAATCATTAACCAGTAAATTATGACCAACTGGAAAGGCGCCTTCAAATATTGTTGTGGACAATATGGTCCTTCGAGTCGAAAAAGTTGAGAAGCACTGCTTTAAACTGAGTTAAAGTATATATTATATACTGATATGCACTTATATAAATCAAAACTGTACCTGTGACTCATTTTACTTTGGAATATGTTATGGAAAATTTAATTATTATTATTAAATAAATTATAATAATATTAATATTACTTAATGATTTTATAAATATTTAATATTAAATTATTTGATTTATTTTTTTGAAGGCTCCAGAAGGAATTTAAGAAATGATCTCCTGGTAGCTGCAGACTCCATAACCAACACGATGTCTTCATTGGTGAAAGAACTTAACTCGGGTAATATTGAATGATCCTGATCAATCAACGATAGCATACGTTATTCATTGATGTTCAAACTTTGCCTATGATGATGTTTAGAGGCTGGGAGTGAAACAGACCTCACATTCTCAACGTCAGACGTTCTCCACGCACGGAGCGCTTCAAGATCAGGGTAACAAAAACATGTTGCTAAATCACCTGCTGAAGTGTGTGATCACGTGTTGTTCAGATCTCCTGGGCATGTGCTCACTGTGGTTCTGCTCTCATAGGGCAGCAGGGAAGCTGGAGCCTGGGGAATTCTATGGACATGATCTGGAAAAGCAGCTGAACAGAAGCCTGAAGATGGAGGAACGCCTCAGACACACACAGGAACAGGTGAGACAGTCGAACATACGGAGGCCAAGTAAAAGCAGTAAACCAGCAGTTAGATCAGCACAGAAGTTTGCATGTGAAATGTTGGAATATGCAAATTGTCATCCATGGCAAATGACTCAACCGTCATCAGTTCCCATATTACTCTTATATTTATAATCTTTGCATTAATATGCTGTTAAACAGTAACCAGTCACAGAAAAGAATAAGATAAAAGAATACTGAAAATGTGTTACGGTTTCCTCAAAAATATTAAGCAGTAAAAAAAAAAAAGTCATCATTGATAATAAAGCAGCAAATCATCATATTAGAATGATTTCTGAAGGATCATGTGACACTGAAGACTGGAGTAATGATGCTGAAAATTCAGCTTTGATCACAGGAATAAATTACATTTTGCAACATATTCAAATAGAAAACGGCTATTTTAAATTGTAATAATATTTCACTATTTTTACTGTATTTTTGATTAAATAAATGCAGCCTTTGTTAGCAGAAGAGACTTCTTTTAAAATCTTACTGACCCGAAACATTGAATGGTAGTGTTATTTGGCAGCATTAATTTAGCCTTTAAATTAAATAATAATACTTGGATGCAGCAAGTGGTTTATATTTAACCCCCCCCCCAAAAAAAGATAAATAATGTCTCATATGTTTCTGTATTCACATCAATATTGTTATCTGCCCCAAAGCCATTTTTAAGTATCAAACTTTAGATGGATATTCTGGGAAATATGCCAACGGTGTGTCATGAGTACGCTGCATCATATATCAAATTTGATTTCTTTTTAATTGCTATAGAAATGAGATGAAATAGAAATGAAAAATCCATTAAAGCAAATGGATATTTCATTGTAATGAACATATCCCCCGGCTGCTTCCCTGGCACCTGTTCTTGAGGGCCGAGATGGTGTTCATTTTAACTGCATCTGTACGAGTTTTGCATGCAACGGAAAAAGAGCAAATATAAAAAGTTGAATGTATTGCAACGTTTCGACCAAATGAGGTCGAAATATTGGCGCAAGTTCCCTCCTATGCGGGTCCGAATATTCTGATCGTTTTAGTGTGGTACGGAAAGCCTCGGGTCAGTTCTGTGAATTTTAAACCTTCCTCAATGCTGTTTTTTCCAGGTGACTTTACAAGAATAGCTGCGTTTAAATAAGCAATGGTGAGTATTCGTCGGCAGCGCTGTGACAGATGCAATACAACAGCGTTTGATGGTTCAAACCAAGGCTTTTCCTTTGTCTTTTTCTGTCCTCACAGGGAGATGGAGCGACTCTGAAGCACTGTGCAACCACCAGACCTGAGCTGGAACATACAACACTTCTGAAAAGCATCAACTCACAACAATACTGTGGTACACAACCCAATCTATAAATATAGAAATATATTTTTAGAATGTTTTAAGACAATACTGTGAACTAACTTTGAAAATTTCAACTAATGGAACTGTCTACAACACCACCAGTGCCATAAATCCAATGATTACGAGATTATTTCATTTACTCGGTGTTAATGTGTTCAAGTTTGATTTGTTTTCGTGTGTATCTGTTCAAAACTTGTACTGTATTTAAATATATGTTAGGGGAAGTGGGGGTGGTCTTTACTAAAGCTGCTATCTTTACAAACAACATCTTTTATTGTACATTACGTGCAGAATACCCTGACCTGATGGTCTTTTAAAGCATATCAAATATTAGGATATTGTTGTAGCTTCAGTTTCTCGTTGAGAGTAGAATAATTTGAGACTTCGTCATAGTCTTTGATACACAAATACACTGCCTTAGCTGATCAGACTTAGTTTATTTTAATAGGTGGGTAGGTATGTGTACTTTGTTGCAATTTATTCATTTTTATAGACATTTGAATTAATAAGAACAGTACAGAAACGGACGAATCTCGTGAATACACCACCAGGTCACGTTTAACTTTAGAATCCCCAAAATAAAAATGTAATGTGTTTTGCATGAAGAAAATGAAACCTATGTTTAGGACCATTTATATTTCTGACTTTGTGACATTATTTTCAGTGTAATACAATGCTTTTATTTAAATCAGCCTAAATTTAAGGTTGTAGTAACAGATACTTGCATCATGTACTGTATATATACTTTACAATTTTATCCATATCATTACATATTTCATACTAAATAATACATTTCTTAACATATCAATATTCTTGAATTGCAACAATAATTTGGCAGTAAAACCTGTTTATCTCTACTTTAACATGTACATCGTCATGAAAACAATGTTGCATATTTGCATTGCAAAAAAAAAATATCGTACTGGTTCTAAAATATAGAATTCATTTTTTTATGCATAATATATATGTGATTTTTATGCTTTCTTTAAAAAAATTAAATAAAAATCCTTTGGATTTTAGAGGCAAATATGACCAGGGCATGTTTTTGATAGGTTTCATGAGATTCATGCAAAAAACTTGTGGACCTCTGGATTCAAAGGAAAATATTATTTGACTCCAAAGGGAATATTTACCATGCTCTATTATTTAATTTGCAAAAAACAATGAAATGCAGACATTTTGAGACAACCACATTGACAGCATCTGACACGACTGAATGTGCTGTTATGTTGTTCAAGGACTGACAAGATGCCTTTTACAAAAGCATATTTTGGTGTAAGATATATTGATCTAGAACATAATTATCACGCTTGGATTGATTTTGTTGGTGAATATGAATTCCTTGTAAAGATGTCCAGTAGATTGGTTTGGCTTTGACCATCTCCAGACTCTTTCATTGATGTTTTTTCTTTGCCACTGTCACACTTCAGCAGTCACATTGATCTCATTGTTTACTCAGAGCATTGCTTTTTCAGACAAGCCATTCTATGCCACAACAAAAACAGCATTCGCGCCCTGCTGCCAGCCGTTGCACTTTTCAGTTCATTTGCATGGTACTAAATAAAAATATTATGTTGTACAAATATCTTCAAGTGTCCACAAGTTATGGTATTTTATGTAATTTGGGCTATCAGTTTGTTAAAACTGATCCTTCAAATAATTTTTGCACAAAATGCTGTTCTAACTTTGTGAATTGTAATATGTTGATGCAATATACACAACAACCACTAGATGTCCTTGTTGAGCAATTAGATATTTTTTCTAATAAGACAACAAATATCACATTAAAGGGATAGTTCATCCAAAAACGAACATTCTGTCATTAATTACTCGCCCTCCTATCGTTCCAAACTCGTAAGACTTTCGTTCATCTTTGAAACACAAATGAAGATCTTTTTGATGAAATCTGAGAGCTTTCTGTCCCGCAACTACCACTTTATTGACGCTTCAAAAAGTTCATAAAGAGATTGTAAAACTAAATCCATATGAATTGAGCGGTTTAGTCCAAATTTTCTGAAGAGACTCGGTCGCTTTATATGATGAACAGATTTAATTTAGGCTTTTATTCACATTTAAACATTCATCAACTCACACATCACAGAAGCTCAAGCATGTTCGCTTGACGTGCGAGAACCAATGAGGTTCATTCTCGTGTTACTACGCATCACGTTTGAGCTTCAGCTAGAACCAATGAGGTTTGTTTTGGGTGAACTTTAAGAATAAATAAACAAAATGAACTAAAATGAATGGCTAACTATTAAAGTGAGACTAACTTCCTAATTGGTTTATTAAATCGCCATATGCAATTTGACTTACTACATGCTATAACTACACAGTGACATGTGTCATATGTGTTGTAAATATAAGTTTATTAGACTGTCTGCTCCCCATTATTTAGGAATACAATTCAGTTTACAATGAAACAAAGGCAGGTTATTCCTCTAAATATACCTTTTATCTATCATCCAAACATGTTTCCCGTCGTGATAAATTAACGCATCACTCATTTCCCTTGATGCATAAACACATCAGGAAATCACCATTCCATATTCAACGAGCAGCGCACTGCATTCCTATTGGCCGAGAAAGACAACATCCGTTGCTTCCGTCAACCAATCATCTGAACGAAGGGAGGAGCCAATGAGAAAAACAACGGCTATTCTATCTGTCAACCAATCAGGGGGAAGTTGAAGGGCCATCCGCCAATCAGCGGCGTCGGGTGGATAGGTGTTTTGTGCTGCTGGTTCTCGGCGCTGGAGGGTGGGGTGCGATCCCAGAAGCGCAGCTGGTTTGGTCGGATTTACTGTTGAGTTCACGGGTGAGTCGAGCTTATATCAGGCGCTGTTTTTAAACTAATTAATGTGATTTCGTTTTGAAGAGGTTTGGTTTTGCAATGGCTGGACTGAGCCTATGGGAAACCATAGATTCGTGTTTAATTTTGTCATTAAGTTCAAAGATGATGCAGGCAGAGTAGCTTGTTAGCGTAGCACCAGCTGTTCATTACGTTGAACTGCATTGATGATGGTCTCAACTTTGACCCTAAACTGTCACGTTAAATGTTTTATGATGGCGTGGTTAATAAATGCATAATATTACTTCTGACACAAATTTGTACTGTTTTATTATTATTTTTTCTTTTTGTAATTAACATGTAGTTGTTAATTTCCTAAGCACACTTCCTGTTCTTAGAGAAATATGTTTAGGATGCAAGGTGCAACTTCTACATCAATGTTAGACAGTTAGTCCACATGTTGAACAAATTTGCACGAAGAAATAAAATATTAAATGGGCTGCAAAGCCATTTTCTGCCTTGAGGAGGGAGGGGAAAGCAAACAAAAGACAATTGAACAGTCTGGTGCAATTAAAAATGCAGTAATCTGCAACACAAGGAGCTTAAAGACTGCATGTTTAACATTTTAGTGCTTCTTTAGAAACGTTTACCTGACCCACAGTCAGGTTCAAAAGTCTGAGATTATTAGTTTGCATTTTCCCATTGCTAATTATTATCACCATGTGAAATTAATTTAAAAAGGCATATGAATTTCAGAATGTTTTAGTATTTATTTTGGGCATAACTGCAGTATTGGAGCTGTCATGATCTCTAGCATGATTTCAGATCTTCTAAAGTGCAACTAAATCTTCTGTGGAAAAAAAAAATCTGTCTGCACTAAGAGTCACATGATCAATGTCACTAATTTACTCTGATATTGATTTAATTTGGTTAATAGCCTACAGTAGTGGAGAATGGGAAATGGAGAATATTTCTGGTTCATTTTACATCATAACTTTTCTTTGCCTTAAAGTCCTGCTTATTTTATGAAAATTTTGGCCGATACCGATAATTCTTTGTATTTGAAAGCCGATAACCGATATATTGGCCGATGAATCTAAATCCAAATGTTTATATAATTGTTGAGAGCCTGATAACAAAAACAAAAGTCTCATCATTAAAGCCATGTCCAAAGCACACAATTATAATCTTCTCATAATTTATTGTAGCCTATATGACAGCACGTTGCACTTAACTGTATTTTCCTTTTTTTTTAAGTGATTCCAATCATATTTCAAGCAATTAAAAACCATCATGGTGAACAGAGCGCATCTGAAGTGTCTCAGCGGAAGAAAATAATCCATTATTTATCGGCTTTAATAATACATCGGCCAAATTTTCTCATTGGGCCGAAAACGATGACACTAAAAATAACCATATATCGGCCGATACCGATATGGTTGCCGATATATCGTGCATCCCTAAAAAAAGAAATCAAAATCAAAAAAGTTTTCACTGCGGTCTGACTTTTGAACCCCTCTGGATATACACTTAATTAAATTTTTTTTTTTTTTTTTGCTGACCAATAGTTTTTGTATTGTGCTATACATTATTGATTAGTATATTGTCCAGGCTGATTAACTGGGCAATATTTGGCCATTTTGAGATTACTGGCATCAGTCAATTATCATACCCACCTGATTATCATGTTATCAAGTTTCAAAACAATATCTGTTTTCACACTTGTACAAATGAAATATTGTGTAAAATAAGAAAGACTTCATTTAATTTCAGCATATTTGTACATTTACATTTGCTAATTAAACAGTATTATTAGATTATATCCATATTATATTCAATCTAAACTCAACCAGTAGTGCAGTAATATGCATCTAATCTTTTGTAATGTTCTTAAAGGGATAGTTCACCTGAAAATGAAAATTGTCATCATTTGCTCACCCACATGTCGTTCCAAACCCGTAATACTTTCGTTCATCTTCTGAACACAAATGAAGATATTTTTGATGAAATCTGAGAGCTTTCTGTCCCTCCATTGACAGCTACGAGCTACTACATAGACCATTTGTAGTGTAGTGTTGGCTTACTGTTTATATGAAGCCGTGAAAGAATGAGAAATACCCTCACTAATGTTTTTACTTGTAGTGTCACTTTGTTTAAAAGTTTGAGAACTTCTTTCGTCAGAGTGACTAGACCTTTGCTCATGACCTGGATAGATTTATCTATCTGTTTTGACTCTAAAAAACATAGATTTGATTGATTGGAGAGACTACATTGTAAAGATGTCATACTATATACATTAACAAGAGCCATATCTAAACATTCTGTTATGTGTATGTATATAATAAATAAAATCACAGCGCTCGTTGCAATGCAGAGAAGAATAATGAGCCATTGGCCCGTCACATATACATATATATATTATCAGTTATATGACAGATTTTGTAATGCTTTGAAAGAAGTCTCTTCTGCTCACCAAGGCTGCATTTATTTGATCAACAACACAGTAAAAACTGTAATATATTGTGAAAAAGTATTACAATTTAAAATGCCTTTTTTCTATTTAAAATGAATATTTTAAAATGTAATTTATTCCTGTGATCAAGGCTGAATTTTCAGCATCATTACTCCAGTCTTCAGTGTCACATGATCCTTCAGAAATCATTCAAATTTGCTGATATGCTGCTGAATTTTTTTAAATTAATGTCATCATATTATTATTTCCAGACTTTATTTGTGCGTAAAGAGCAGGTCGATCTAAATTAAGC